AATTCTGGAGTAGAGCTATATGCAAACCCCAGGATGTTAGATTCAGAACTGACTTTAGGAAGTAGGAATGGACTAAGAACCCATTTTACCCTAGAGATTCCAATATGGTCATGACCATGAGGCTCTTCTTGTACTTCACTGTTCTGTTTCACTGTTCACTCATCCCCCGAAGGGCTTGAGACAAAGCTTGTTACTAACTGCAAAAGAATCACATCTGAACAATGTTAGAAAGCAAATATTACTGATGATATATCAACAGTGTCACATTCCTAAAAGGTATAAGCACCAGGCATTTGAATTCTCACATTCAGACTTTGAATCAGTGTGATGGATGTTTCAACTCACTTCTATTAAGCCGTATGAATAGGAAGATATTCCCTGGGCTACTAGATCAAGTCACAACTCAGCTGCTCATGAACTGTGTGATTATTTTAGAAAATCACTCCAATTCTCTGAACTTCAAGTTCTTCATTTGTACAATTGGATTAATAATGCCTATCTTATAGGGTTTTTGTAAGGATGAAATAAGATAAAAAACATGAAAGCATTTGTCTCAGTGCTTGCACTTCGTGGAGTCCCTGTCATGTTCCCTGCCTCTTTTCTTAAAGTCAAGCAGCTCAAGGGAACTGCCATGATAATGGCTTATTCAAGCAGAATATAGATCCAGTGGAGTCAGGATTCCTCCGGTTATATTGATTTGCTGTTTTCTTCTGACAAGTACAATAATGGAATATGGCATATCTGTGGAGGGGGTTACAGTATTACAGAGGACTTGGACATTTCCTCTTCCGGTCCCCACAATAGCTCTGTGACAGCTCATTTAACAGAAAAGGAACTGAGGCTCAGAAAGTTCCTGATCCCCCCCAAAAGCTATCTGAGCTAAAAGTCAACTGTAGATTTCTGATACAAGTGTCCACTATACCCAGAAGCCTTGCCTTCAGGTTCTGGAGCTTGCCTTTAATCTAAACCATTGGGAAATGTGTGTCAACAAACACCTGTTTACTTTAAAAACCACATTATCTGCAAGTGTCAAACTGGGGGTTTCTGTTTATGGTCAATTGTGGTGATGATGCCTTTGTTTTCATCCCTTGCAGCAGGGAGCAGTTCAACTAGCATCGCGTTATAATAGCTGAAGTAATGGCTTCTCCATTCTTGGCACTTTTGATGATTTGCCTGTTTTCCTAGTTATATTTAGTAACTGCAACAAGGAAGTCATTTAAAAGACTATAGGTGGGATTAATCGAATACAGCTTGTTTATTTTTCCATGAGTGGAATCCATAAAGCTGAAAAGGAGGATCCTGAGATAAGGAGAGTTTACTTGGGAGTCTATAAAAGCAAACCCACCCACCTGTTGCTTTTGTTACCATAAAGGAGGGACCTAAAAGGCTAGTGTAGCCTCCAGGCTCCCTGAGCTGGCAGTCACACAGTACCAGCAAATTATCATCATTTCTGAGGTCACAAAAAGGACACTCACAGGATCTGGAAGGTAGGAAGTTATTTATTGTGATGTTTAATGCCTAGTGCTCTTAAAAAGAACAAGATGTAAACATCGTCCAGATGGTGATACATTAACCTATTTCTTGGTCCTTCCCCTAGATGGGATAATTGTGCACCAAGTATGACAGACTTCACTTTTAATATTGAAATGGCATCTCACCTAGAGATTAAGATGTAAAATCTGCAGTGAGACTTTTGAGAAAAGGACAAGAAGCAGTTTAGCCTCTGAAATGCTATCAAACACAGGGGCCTGTCATGCCAGGCTCACACATGAAAACATTTAAGCTTTCTGATAACGTCAGAAGCCTTCAGAAGTAAGTCCCACCCTCTACTCACTCTCTCATTTTCTCTTAAACACATACACATTTTATATGAGCAGATCATAATGTTAATTTTAGAGAGCAAGATTCAATTTTGTTATTACAAACCTACCACGTAACCTTTGGACCAGGCATGTTGACTAAGCCATTGAATAATGATAGCGAAACACTAACAATTCTAAGTGGCAGAAAATAATGATAGCTAGCATAATCATTACCTTCAAATATCCACACACACTTTGGAGAGATGATCTAAGTATTTCCCTGCACATCTCTGGTGGGAAAGGTGCTACTTCCTACTTGAAGACAAATAACTACTCTGGATTATAAGTGTCATTTCTCCTGAGAAGTTTTTCTTCATTACTTTCAAAATAGAAGGCTTAGACTCCCAAAATTAAGTAAATTCATAGAATCCAAAGCAATAGAGTCCACGTGTCTCACTCATTATAACTCAGTATTTTCCAAACATTTTAATCCTATGTCCTGAGAAATTACGGCATGTCCACAAATATAGACATTTAAAAGGATCAAATACAAAATAAATGTAAATAGATTAGTGCATTCCTTAGTACTGTTCCATTTGGAGTAAGGAGTGGAGAAGGAGAGAATAAGGGAGAAAATTGTGATAATTCTGTTCTTCTTCTCTCCTGCAAATTAGCTCTTCAGACTGCAGTTCTCACACCAAGTTTTCAGGGACCTTAGGTGTAGCAAATTAGAGAAGCAGGAAGAAAAGTAAAAAAGAAGAAATGTAATGAAACAAAAGTTAACACAAACACTGAGTGGCCCTACATTTTTAGTTGACACATAGGTTCGTGTATTTGTAACCCACAGTATCACGTTTCCATACAGGTACAGCAGGCTCAAATATCATGATGGAGTTTTCCTAAGGACTGCATTGTCAGCTTACCAGGGCTATTTCCAATAAAATGTAAAACAGTGGGAAGTTTCAACAGTACAGGTTTATTTTTTTTCACAGTTCTGGAGTCCAGAAGTCCAAGACTAAGGTGTCACTAAGTTTGATTCCCTGCTCCCTGCTAAGGTCTCATTCATTGGCCTTCAAATGCCTGTCTTTCTTGGTCCTTCCATCATCTTTCAGTTGTGTAAACACATCTCATGTTTCCCTGCTTGTCTTAAGCTCCTCTTTTCAAAGAACATCAGTCTGATTAAACTAGGCCCCACACTCAGGATTTCACTTTCTAGTTAGCACTTACATACCCTATCTCCAAACAAGGCCCCATTTGGAACTACTGAGGGTAGTGTTTCAACGTGTGAATTTACAGAAGACACACTAAAGCTATCAGTATTGATATGAAATAACACTTTCTCCATTTACACAATTGATCTTAAAAAGATGCAATACCTGTGCAATATGTACACTGGATGAGGCTGTCAACAATGCTTGCTCACTTACACATTTCAGCCAGCCAACCTGATTCAAGATCCCACCTCAGCCTCCTAAGATGAAGCATCTACTGGAGCTTTTATGGAGTGATTTACAGGAGGCTTTTCAAAGCCTCAGACAATGAGGCTGAGTACTACATAGAGTCCCAAGGCCCATTTATATGGTAACTGAGACCACATGATCAGGAGAGCAAGCCATGACCTCTTCTCTCTTCAAGACAGAGACAGGTGACAAAGGGACATGTCTCACATGTTTTGTGAAAAAGTAGTGTTCCCCCAAACCTCAAATATTTTCAAGGGCTTTTCTTGGACATGGTTGATAGCAGATGGCCTCACCATGGAGCACTTCAAGAAAAGCAAATATATGCAGTGCACATTAGCAAACGGAGATCACACAGTCAGCTAGAACATCACGAGCCCCACCTGCTGCCAGCTACACTGGCTGGAAAAGTAAAATAGATCCCTGATGACAAGGTCAAAGTGTGTGTCAACGAGTCTTTGAAGACTTCTTCATTCCAAAATGGCCACGGGATACATGATAGTTGCAATCATTTCAAGAGAAGTTGACAGTCAACACTCTCCTTTGACAGTATGTAAATTTGGATTATTCTCACATCACGGTGTAATCTGCATTTCAGATTAATATTATTTACCTCCTTGTTCCTGAAATAGCAAGGTTTGTGCCATTTGTGCATTGATACAGTGTGACAATATGTGGTGAAATTTGTGTACAAACAGCTGTGATGAAATTGTGACATAGATATGCAATACATGTATCCCTTTAACAGACACACCAGTGCCCTGGTTTAAATACGGCAGATGATACAAAACATTATAGACACAAAGATGAGTTCACAGTCAGCTAAGAAAGAAAGGAAAGGGAATTGGTGTCACGCAGAGCCATGGATCCCAACCATAAGCATGTATCATAATTCAGTAGAGGGTAAAAGGGATTGTTTTAGCCCAACTACTTGCCCTATGTTTTTGATCCAGTGGCATGAGAAGTTGTATTCCCAACACATTTTGGTACTCCTACCTCAGACAGCACACTTTGAGGACAAGTAGATGTAAAATTATGAGTTGGGGAGTTTTGAGATCTCTGGGGAAGGGATTGTTTGTGTGGGAAGGGGATCAGAGAAAGATTTATAGGAAAAATGAATTTTAAAGGATGAATGAGACAGGGTATGTATAGATTTAGGCATACTGAGAACACTGAGTTCTAAAGGAACAAAAGTAGAAGAAAGTACATATGGTTGGAGGAAAATGCAAGTCATGCCACTTGGCTAGTACAAAGTTTGAGTTTGAAATAGTTACGGGAGATGAAACTTGAAAAATAGGCAAAGCCCACAGCCATGATTAAGGGCCCTGTTTGAATATTGTCCTTTAGGTGATTGTATAACCATTTATTCCCAGAAATGGACTTCATCTTGGGAAGAAATAAATCCAGAAGAACTCCATCCACTGTCACCTCTCCTCAAAAACAAGGCTTCCTTCTTGGCTTTCCAGTCTTTTGGAAGAAAATGCTATCAAGTCTTGGAAGTGACAAATCTCAAAAGAGAAAGAGAGTATTAATTGCATGTGAGCAGAATTCAGTGACAAATAAGTTCTTGTGATTGACCAAGGAGCCACCTGGTTGTACCCTGACCATTAATTGGTTGACTGACTCTTAAATCTGAAACCCATCCACCTCTGATGGCCTCCTGTCACTGTGGAATGGTGCCATTGAGAAAGGGGAGATTGCAGCAATAGTCTCTGATAAAATCTTCTTTACTCCTTTCTAGGAGAAGATGACGACGATGACGAATGTGGGGAGGAGAAGCTGCCCTCCTGTTTCGATTACGTGATGCACTTTCTGACCGTGTTCTGGAAGGTCCTCTTTGCCTTCGTCCCCCCTACAGAATACTGGAATGGCTGGGCCTGTTTCATCGTCTCCATCCTCATGATTGGCCTGCTGACAGCTTTCATCGGAGACCTGGCTTCCCACTTTGGATGCACCATTGGCCTGAAAGATTCCGTGACTGCAGTGGTGTTTGTTGCACTTGGAACTTCGGTGCCAGGTAGGGACACATTCTTATATAATTCTCCCAGAAGCAGATGCTCACTTCCCTTCTTGTCCTTTTGTTTCCTACAGTTTCGAGAGCTTTTATAACGAACTAGAACTCTGAAGGGAAAGAGTCCATAAAAATAATGTCACTTGCAGAACATTGTCCTGGCACTTCTTGAGGTCAGAAAGCTGGTCAGCAGCATGATGTTGACAGGAAAACATTCCTGAGGGTATGCATGCAGAGGGCAGAAGGGTTCAATGGATAAACTTTCACATCAGCTATCTATTACAGTGAGCGCTTTCAAAACCATATCCATCTTGAAGAACACATTTCTGCCTTAAATACACTGGGCAAAGTCTGCAGGACTTCGTGAAACCTGTACTCATTTGTGTAACTGAAGTAAAGTGCTTCCTGGAGGTCTGACCCACAAATTAATACAAGTAAATAGAAGTAACCTTGATCAAGATTAGGAAAAAAGTAACCCTGGACAAGCATGAAGCAGGGTGAGGAGTCATTTTGTGGACATATCTTAAGGGATTCCTGCTATGCTGGCTCCTTTACAAGCTCTAACTATTGTATTCCCACCCACTCACCCACCACCCATCCCAGCCTAGTGGACATGTAGTGGTAATATAGTGGTAATGCCCAGAGTTGTATATTTTCAAGCTCACAGGTGACTCATACCTATCACAAGCTTTTGAGCTAACTCTGGACCTGAGTCTTAGCACTAGTTCCATCTACAAATATGCAGAGCCTAAACGCTGACCAACAAAACTCACACACTGTACCATAGCGCAGGCCAGGGAGCCTCAGAGTGGGCCTGAAGGAAATAGGGTTGAAACAGGTGTTAGCCTGCTGATGCAGCCCCCTTACTGCAACTTTAATATGAATGGTATTCTTTTTTCCTAAGACTTGCCAGAGTTGGCAACCTGGCTTTAGTTTCAGACAGAAAATAAGTAGATTTTATGTCATCGATAGTCATGTATCACTCAAAGCACAGGAATGTATTCTGAGAATTGTGTCATCAGGCCATTTCATCAGTGTATGGATACCATACTTTGTGTCCCTTCACAAAACCAGATGGCTTTGTTGTCAGTAGGCAATACAATTTGATGAGAACACCATTGTGTGTGTGCTAAATCATTAGCTGAGGTGTCACTAGGGCATAGGACAGCTTCTTTTCACTGGAAGTCACAAGGTCATCTCCATGCAGATACTTATTATCTCAGTGACTGTGGAAGTTACTTCACCTCTCTGGACCTCTTTCTTGTGTACTTAACATTCAAGATTGCGGTAAATATTGGAGAAAATGACTATGAAGTACACATGAGTTAAGCATCCAAGACAGAAGGAATTCAATAACTTAGTAATTCTTAATGCTGTCCTTTATGTTGAGGATCTGATAGGATCTGAGCAGTATAAATCTAGACACTTGAGTGACCACCAACAAAGTATTCACATGTATTCTGGTAAGCCGTACCACATGGTATTATCCAGCTGATTGGCTTTGGGGCATCCTGGGTAAGAGGTCCCATGTGGTTTTGGTACCCAGCTGAGTCCATGGATGAGCCAGGGATTTGGAGATTAACCTTGTTCTAAGGTGGGTGTCAGAGTAAAGTTTTCAAGGTTACTTTTGATCCTCTGAGGGGAGCAAGTCCTCTCAACCCAAAATTTGTACTAATAATTCTATCACTCTTGCTTAAAGAAACATGTAATTATACAGCATTCACACACACACACACACACCTCTAAAGGAATTACACATTATGGCTGTCCACTGCTTCTATCTGAGGTTGATGTGTTTTTGGATCCACTTACCCTAAGGTTTAAGCCAATACATCAAATGGTATCAAGTTAATACATACTGTTGGCAATGGATTTAACCCCGGAGGAAGATGTGCAAATTATAAGGCAAAATTAGGTCTAGTGTGACACTTGGCCAAAATTAGCCTGCATTCCTAAAAAGACAATAGTCTTTTCTATCAAATGCACTTCATTTTCAAAATAAAAAAATCTTCCTACTGAAGAAATCTTTGTTCCTGATTTTTTAAAATTCAAAATGCTTTGTCTAACACTGTTCTTTTTGCCAACCTTCCAAAATTCCTCAGTGTATCTCTTCCTTTAACAAATTCTTTTGAAAAGGGTAGCAGGCATATAATTGAAACTATCTTTCTGTAACAAGATATATGGGACTACAGAAAACCTTAATGTTTCCAAGAGCCACTTGTTCTACCACTTACAGTCTACCAAGAACCCAGATAGAGACATTAAGAGGTAAGAATTCGCGTTGGGAGAATGCAGCAGAGTCATTAGTTGATGAAATGGTTTCCATATTTTCAGTAAATGCTACCCATTGCAGCACAGATGACTTTGCTGTTATTGGGAGAATTCCTGTAATTTGCTACACTATTAACTTGCAGCATGCTCCCAGAGCAATATGTGTACAGGTAATCTCAGATAATTATATTCTTATAAACAGGCATTCCTCCCTCCCATACATCTGCTGTGCAAACAGAGCAAGATTGTAGATAAATGCAATGTTTCTGACTTTATTCTTCAACACTGCTAATTCGGGGCAGTGTTGTTGTTGTTGTTGTTGTTACATCCTGTGACAACTAAAAATACAACAAGTACTACAAAAATATTACAACCAAAAACAACAAAGACCAGTTGCTACAAGCAGAAGAAATTAGGAAAGCTAATCTTCTTTACTTATGGCCTATGAATAACTGGGATTGGTTCTGGAGCCATTGTTCCCTCAGCTGACATCCTGGTCCTTTTCCTTCTGCGTCGTGCCTGATGCCCTGCTTTCTCCTCCTGGGTGGCACAGAGCCTCTCTTTTGTGATACACAGTGTTCACTGCAACCTGGTAGAAAAGGACTCATAGCGGTCTTCACTGGCCTTCAACTTCTGTTGTGCCTACAAGAGCTTGAAGACTCCCCCACCATAGCCTTCCCTCACTGACACTTCAGTCCTAAGAACGGTTTAAAATTTAATAATCTAAGCTGATTCTTCAGCTTTGCCTTTGTAAGATTGTTTCCTTCTAAAGTTTAGAGTATGCTTTTGTCATTTGAAACCTATAGGAATTTTTTTCCTTCTAGAGAATTTAAGGCATGACAAGAAAGGAAAGAAAATTTTAGGGTTTTTTTTTAAGTCATTTTTGTCTTTTAAAAAGTATGCTTTAGAAATTTTATGAAAACTGGAATTAAGCCACATTAATTTTGGTGCAAAATATAAAACTCATGCATCAAAAGAATATTGTAAAACTTCAAGAGATTTCGTGTGATGAAAATATATGCATAAATTTCAAAAATTTTGAATTCATGAAAAATGAATTCATCTTTAATAGCATTAAAAAACGCAAACTGCTTTCATCGAGCCTTATCAAAAGCAACCAGATTATTTGAAGATAAATGTAAACTATTTTTGAGGCCTATTCCTTTCTGACTTCTGAACCCCAGTATGAGAATCTAATGGGAAAATAGTTACCCTAGCAATTTGCTGCGATCTCTTGGTGGATTTTTAATGAGTATGCGCCAAGCGGTGTGGTGGTAAGAACTTCAGAACGGAATTTGGGACTCTAGACATCTAAGCATTATACACCATAAAGCTTTGCTCACGCCTATAAGACAGGAATGGTACAACACAGTGATTCAGAGTTGATGGAGGATTATAGTATCATGAATCTCAAATCACTTTATTAGTCATCAGTAAATGAGATCAAATGGAACTTTATGAACAGGGAACACAATTTTTAAAAATTTTTACCACAATGTTCTGCTGTTTGCTAGCTATAAGCACTGCATCTACATCATCTATTATTTTAATTAACTTTATTAAGTGAGGTGAAGTGATTTTTTCCTTCACCCAACGTTCATTTTTTGTCCCTTATATCAGTCTCCTAAAAATGCTTATTTTCTGTTTGAATCATTCTAGAAAACAATTTCTCATACTGTACAAAAATGATTGGTTATTGATGGTTTATATTTTTATTTTCCATTTCATTCCAACACTGATCAAATTTAAGATATCAAATGGCATGCTTAAGTAATGAAGACTTTGCAGTTCATTGTGTCTTACTGCTTAATTTCTCACTGGACACTAAAATAGCTTGTATGGCTATGAAGGTTGTATTCTGTACCTACAGGAGGCACCCTAATTTGAATGACATTTTTATGGATGGATGAGGAGCCCCATGTAGAATGTATATAATAGTAGCCTTTTCTAAAGTCCATTCATTATTCATAGGCAAGGAAGCCCTAGACTCCTCATGATAGGGAATTTCAGACTCATTAGAAAAAAATTATTTGTACATATATAAGTTTGTATACATGGTAAGTTGTGGGATCCATATTACCTCTTGATATTTTAATTTAATACTTAGCCAATCTGTCATGCTACAATATATTTATATCTAAAATATTATGTGTTCTTCCCAATAAGTAATTTGTGATTTTTTTTTTGTATAGTACTATTTTCTTTTTTTTTTAAGTATTTTCCTCTTAAAATATACAACAGTAGGTTTATGTTGAAGTTCCTTAACTTCAGGCACTATTTTTCCAGTTGGCATCCAAAACACCAGATAGATCCTATGCTTTAAATTTTTTCAGAAATGAAGACACAATTGCAAACCCATAAACACTGAGCATTCTCTACATATAAAAGTTGAGCACTGAGACAACAGGACACTCTTTGAAACCTAGCTGACAAAGGATGCAATACCAAGGTAATCCTTTCCAGGCTCCCCAGGCACTGGGTCAGTAGGGCCCAGGAGCAGCATATTTGGAATATTCACAACAGTCATCGTCAGCAAAGGTTCCTGGAAGCTTGGAAATTAAGTTGCTGTGTTCTGGTCTCTGAGCAAAACAGGTTAGGAGGAAGAAGTTACCAAGATCTCATCAGCAATCATGTTCTTGCTTAACCAAAGAGATAATCAGGAGGAAATTTAATACCCCACACAAAGCAAACACACTTGGTAGTAGAGAATTATACCTGACAATTCTGAGTTTCCA